AAGAGAAAGAATCAGAGTGAAGCAGAAAGAAAGAAAAGGAGGAGAGAAGAGATAAGGGCGTTTTAATTTCCTGGCCCTGCGTCTGGATGAGACATTACCTCAACGGCGGGATGTTATTTATGAGAGAGAGATCAGACCGCTGAGAACCAGCATTAACCGCAGCTGAAGATCGGCTCTATTTCTGCAAACGCATGTTTAGTTTCGGGATTTTATTTCACACAAAGGAGCTGAAGTAGATAAGATGAGAACATGGAAAAGCCTCTCAGAGTTCACTGGCGTGTGCAATCTCACTTTAATATCTAGGGGAAACCTGACTCTTCTTGCTCTTTTGAAATAAGAGCTTGATTTCTAACATTCACAACCCAAAACTTCCCAGTGCCAGCTTCATTTACTAAAAAGAAACCCTAGGAAACCTCCACGATTATGACATTACAATCATGAGCTCATTAACATATGACCACCCACATTTACATATCAGTACTTACAGCCAATCCCATTCCAAGTGAATAGCACTATCCTGCAAAAATGAATTGTTCCAGCATAATTCAATGAAAACCATATCTAATATTTCGCCATTAAATAAGAAAGAATGACAACTTTTTTTCTCACCATTCTGCCATTTTTCTCAAAATTTTGACTTTTTGATATAAACTCGCAATTCTGAGAAGAAAAGTCTGAAATGATAGACTTGCAATTGCGGGAAAATGCCGGAATTGTGAGATAAAAAGTCATGATTACCTTTTTTTATAGGTAACCTATATAACCTATAACAAATTCTTTAAAAAAAAAAAAAAAAAAAAAAATCTAAAAAAAATGAAAAAAAAAAAAAAAAAAAGAATTAAACAATTATTATTATAAGCATTATGAACACTTCATCAAATGATTAAATTTCTTTAAAAAAAAAAAAAAAAAAGCAAGAATTGTGGGATTTAGACTTAGAATTCAAAGAAAAAAAAAAGAATCGCAACAATTCCAAGATGTAAACTCAGAATTCTAAAAACAGTCACATTTGCGATGTGTAAACTCAGAATTGTGAAAAAAAAAGAATTGTGAAGAAAAAAGAATTCTAAAAATCAGGCAGAATCACAAAATTTAAATTTAGGATTCCAAGAGAAACAGTGAGAACAGCAAAATTTAATATAAACTAAGAATTGTGGAAAAAGTGATCATTGTGAGATATAATCTCAATTCCAAGGAAAAAGTCAGAATTGCAAGAAGTAAATGCAGAATTCTAAAACAAAAAATGTCAGAATTGTCAAATGTTTATAACTCAAAAAAGGATCATGTTATCATAAAAGCACAGCAGAAAAACGGCCTGTTTATTTCTAAGGAGGAGTAGGACAATAGTAATCAAAAACTAAATTATTACTGTTTTTAATATGGAGATAATAAGAGGAATTCAAGATATAAAATGCAGAATATGATCTTTAATATGAGAACACAGACACACTGTCCCACACAGACTGACCTGTCGTTAATAAACACTCCGTTTTTATGGATCTGGTTCTCCAGGGTGAAATTAAAGGTGAAATCTTCGATTCTCTCGTTGTTGTGGATCTTCACACGGGACGCGTACTCGTCCGCCTGCAGGTGCTTTATGACGTCAGGGAACCAGACAGACAGACCGTAGTACCTGCGCACAGGAAGTGACATCATCAGAGCGCTGACGGGTGACGTCTGAGTGACTAACAGGGACTGAAGCTGGCTGAGGTGTGACACAGGTGGTGACACCAGTGCTTAGTTAATTCATTTCTGCTCCTCAGCGGTGGCCTTCAGTCTGACAGAGAGCAGCGACAGAGGCATCTGTTCACTCTTTAATTAGAGAGAGTGTGTGTGAATTTCTCTTTTATTTTGTATTGAAGTGTTTAGCTTGAGTTGGTCTGTGACAGAGTGAAGACAAGTTTATTAAGACTAAAATCAAAAGAGACGAGGGTGGAAATAAGACAAGAAAAGAGAAACTGAATAGAATAGAAATAAAGCAATAAGCCACATTTTACAGTGATTTTACTTAAGTTTAGGGGTGTTGTTAACCTGAAACCCCTTTAACCACGGAATGACAAACTAAAACAGTAAACCTGATTATGCTTTGAAGGTTAATAACTAAGGTTAGGGACAGTGTTGTTATTGTAAATTAAAACTATTAAAAATTGCTGTTATTCGTTGAAATAAAATATAAATATTGCATAAAAAACTTATGTGAAAATTCGAAATGTTGCCTTCACAACTAACTGAAATAAAATAAGTTTAAGGTGAAGCATTGCAATTACTACAACTAAAAACTACATAGAAATATTTAATGAATACAAATTACAAATATAAAAAACGTTAACTTATTTTATTTAAGCTAGTTTAACATAAAATAACTAAAAATGAGATAAAAATGAAAAAAATAAATAAATATATATATAGACATAAAAAAACTAATAAAAATTATACAAATTCACCACAAAATTACTAAAACTTCCAACTAAAATTAAAACTCAAAATGAAAATTTAAAAATCAAATCTAATTCAAAATTGTAATAAATATTATTAGGGGTTTAGTGGGTTTATTCAAATCAGTATAAGCACACTAAGTATACTTCGTATACACTAAGAATGAGTAAGAATGATAATGACTATTAAGCAAATATTTCTAATAAACAATTCTTCTGCCAGTTATATAGTTCATTAATCTAACTGTGGATTCTTTATCAAATTGGACTAATAATATCAATTTTAATTTAAATGTTTACTGGATATTTTGCAGATTAAAACACAACTCATCCCAACTGGTTTTAGAGCTGGAACTATCGGTTTTAGACTAGACTAGACTAGACTAGACTAGACTAGACTAGAATATGTCTCAGAAAAGCCAGGTCAGAGGAGTTTTAGTGTAATTTGATGAGTAAACCAGGCTTTTACACATGAGTGTGGATATAAGGCCTCCTGCAGAGCTCTGTCTCTGAGCCCGTCCATCCAGCCTTAAGCTCCAATAAATACAGTAATTAAACAGTGACTGGTCCCCCTCATGCAGCTCCACCCCTGGGCCTAACCACTGCAAGACAGCCACTTAAAACACAGTGATTATAGGAACAACACTTCATTACAGTGCCAGAGAACAGCAGAGAGAGATTGAGAGGAAGAAAAACAGTGTCTACTGATTGGAACAAGGCCAAATAGAATAGAATAGAATAGAATAGAATAGAATATGATGATATTGTACTCTAAATGGCATGCAAACAATGTGTGATCACTATAATCACGGCTCCGCTGGGTGATAATGTGTGTAACTACAGGGGTGATGAATCAGGGGTCGGTCCAGGCAATCAGACGCGGATATTAGAGCCAAACAGTCTCACCCGAATGACAGCGAGAACCAAACCACGGCCAACTTCACAGTGTTGTCCTTGACAGGGTAATCCCAGCACTTCAGGAACGTGAGCCAGATCTGCACACACACACATACAGAGTCAAACTAATGCATAAAGTGCTAATAAAGCACTTGCGTATAATGGGATCTGATTTCATTTCATCACAGCATTAGAAAATGCAAAGGCAAAGATGAATCAGCAGAACATTTGGTGCGTCTGAGTCCCAGCTGAACTTTAGCGTGACTTATTCATCTTAAATGAGAGGCGTTTATGCAAACGCTTTCACGTTTCAAGCTGCAAATATTTTTTCTGTGCTCAATGTCAGCACTGAGATTTAGCTCTAAGATGCAAATCTTTTTTTTGTGGCCAAACAGTACAAGTAAAAAAAAAATAAAAAAATAAAATAAAAAAATATATATATACATCTAAAAATAAATAATATAATATATATATTTTTTATAATAAATAATTTTCAAATTGTTCTATTATATATAATGCATACACATAATGAGTTTTGAAAAATTCTTGAAAAGTATTAAAATATGTAATATATAAAATAGATGTTTTTAATTAATATTTTAAATAAATAAATCTACCTCTTGCTATCTCATTTCTTATATTGTTTGACCAACGGAGCAGCTCTAATGCTATTAAATTAAAGATGAACAGTGAAAGTAACAAAAACTTGTAAAATACATTTTAATGGGCATAATTAAGTGTGAA